CAACAGTCGACAACACCGCAACGTCAACTTCGGCCGTCAAGCAGTCAAGTAGCCTCTACGGAGGTGCATCCCAACAGTTAAGTGCAGCCTTCAATATCTTCATCACAATCTGCACAAGGAACAAGAAACATCGTCAGCTGCATGACAAGGACGAGGGATTCCTGCATCACTGGATCACCACCCTACTACTCACCAGAAGACCAACTTGATGAAAGGACTCCCCGCCGCAACTCACTGGAGCCCAATCCGTCGTATGCAGCTATCGCCCAAAGCGAGCCGTCCGGGCAAGACACCTGGTTCTTGGACAGTTGCTGCGGACAACACATGTGTTTTTCAAGTCGCTTCGTTCAACAGGAACACCAACTTCAACGCGAAGTCGTCATCACCGTGGCCAACAACCAGAACCTGCACACACGACGACAAGGCGTAGTACAACTTCAATCCCGAGAGACTAACGTCATCTTGCAAATGTCTAAAGTATTGATTGCAGAAGGACTTGGCTACAACTTACTAAGCGTCAGCCAACTGATGGCGAAGGGGATCCATCTTGAAGCAGACAGCACCAGACAGGAGTTTAAGCTTTTCCACGGTCGAGGAGGGCTCTACATCGGTAGAGCAGTCTTAAAAAACAACGTCTTCATCCTCGACTTTGTACCAGATCAAGGAACGGCCGATAGCGACGCCATCGTCAACTTCGCCTCCTTGACGCACCCACCGGATCTCGATCCTAACTTCAGCCCCGGAGGGTTCTGGTATTCACATACCATACCTGAAGTAGAAAGAACACAGGCATTAGCAACAATCCGACAAGAAGCAACAACATCGACAGCAGCAGAAACAACATCGACAGCAGCAGAGACAACATCGGCAACACCAACAACACTTACAACACCAATCGCAAGCTCTTCGACGACATCACCACACATCGACGACACTCCACCGACTCCTGCGCAGCAGCTAGCTCCCACTCCACGAGAAGTTCACAGAAGCGCCAACTTCACCGCCGCCTTTTACTCCAACTCCGACCTGTATAGGCGCTCACCCGGACATCGTGCAAGTGAGTCCCTGTGGCACGAACGACTAGGACATCCAAGCAACACCACGTTAAACAACACAATCAAGGCAGCAGTGCTCGACAAGGACTCATTCTACCCGACGCCAGAGAACTCCAACGAGTCCGTGGAACATGCTTTATCTGTCCCGAAGCCGACTTACCGCATCAACCTTTTGCCTCTCACCACAATCCTAGTGCGCCAGCTTATGCACCACTCGAGAAAGTATACAGCGGCATTCTGTATACTCGCGAACAAGGACAAGGCGCATATAATTACGTAATCACTTTCATCGACGCCGCCACCCGTTACGTCTGGCACCTTAATCTTCCAAGTCGGGACATGGCCTTCGAAGCCTTCGACGCCTAGCTACCTGTGGCAGAACGAGAATCGGGCGCAAAGCTGAAAAGCTTCCAGTCTGACGGAGGAGGGAAATATCAGTCCCAGAGGTTCGGGCAGTACCTCGCAACACGAGGCATCAAGCGACTCATTTCACTTCCCTACACCCATCAACAGCAAGGCGTAGCAGAACGGATGAACAGAACTCTCCAGAACACCATGCGCAAATTGCTGCGTGGCATGCGACTGCCCAATCACCAGTGGCCTGAGGCGATGGACCACGCTGTCATGCTGCACAACTTGCTTTCGTCGTCGTCACTTCCGAACAACGCATCACCGCACCTGCTGTGGACAGGAAAGTTGGGCAACACAAAAATGTTACGAGTCTTCGGGTGCATGGTACAGTATCGCCCACACACTGCAAGAGCTGGAAGATTTTCTCAACGCGCATAGTGGGGACTACACCTGGGCATCGAAAAGCATTACAACGCATGGAAGATTTTTTACGTCCACTCGAAAGAAACAGTGGCAGCACGTGATCTCATCTTCTACGAGCGACTCACACTTCAAACGTACCTGGACAACCTGGCAGCAAATCTAGACCTCACGGGCGACTTCCGTGGCAACCGAGCCTTTGCTTCAGCAGCAGACGAAGCTGACTGGGACGAGCAAAACGTGGACAACGCATCCGAAGAAGCAGGACCACTCCCATACTGCTCCGTGCCTATCTCGATGGATGACGAAAACCCTCGCGAAAGCGTCAACGCCGAAACCTATTTCGACGTCGCCGACACCGGTTACGTTACACCTCAACCAGTCGACACCAACATCTCCGAACACATAGGACCAAATTTCTTACCAGACCCCGAAGCAGGAGACGAAGCAGTTTATCCAGAGGACACAAATCTCCCCCGCTACACACAGAGTGGCCTGCAGATACTGGGCCTTGTCACCGCCGTCCACGGAGCGGAACCACCTAAGGAGCCTGCGACAATTCAGCAGGCTCTGGGGGGGGAACACAGGGAAAAATGGCGTGAAGCCATGGACAAAGAGCTGAAGGTGTCAGAATGTTATAATTGTCTAGCCTGCAGTGGGGTACTCCATAGTGAGTACAGCCCAATTAGGGTTTGCTATATGTGTCCAACTGCTTGCTAGTGAACATCCTCTCCTTTCTTCATTCTTTCTTTCTACTACTACTTCTGACAGAAGGCGCTGCAGGAACGCAACACCTGGAAAGTCGTGCCTATCGAAGTGGCACACAACAAAACTGTCCTCACGGGAAAATGGGTTTTCCGCGTGAAAACAAAAGCTGACGGAACAATCGACAAGTTCAAAGCACGCTGGGTCGTGCGGGGCTTCGACCAAGAGCAAGGGCGAGATTTCACGGAAACATTCGCCCCAGTAAGCCGACATACCTCACTGCGGATTCTCCTCGCAATCGCCGCCATGAACCGAAAGAAGCTTCGACAAATTGATGTCGCCAATGCCTTCCTCTACGCCCCCGTCGACGCTGAGATTTTTGTCGAACTCCCACACGGATCCAACGCAGGCCCCAACCAAATCTGTCAACTGGAGAAGTCACTGTACGGGATTAAGCAAGCCCCGAGACTATGGCAGCAGCACCTTCACGCCTGCCTCATTCGCATCGGATTTCTTCAGCTACCACACGACCAAGGAATGTATCGACTGGCGAAAGGCACCGACTACATCCTACTTATCGTCTACGTCGATGATCTTCTCTACATAGGATCCACCGACGCGGTAACAACGTGGTTTGAAGGGGAGCTGCAGGGAGATCTAACTCTCACCGTCGCAACCACCGTGACACAGTACCTAGGACTGAACATCGAAGATGGCGACAATGCCATCTACCTCAGCGCTGCAAAATACACTGACACTATTGCTAAACGCTTCAGACTCACCCCAACTACTATCTCCACGCCATACCGCTACACCGACGAAAATCGGAAGGCCTCCGCCCTACTCAAACCTGCTGGCGTCCGCGACTACCAAAGGAAGCTAGGCTGCCTACTCTTCGCAGCCATCACTTGCCGACCGGATCTATCCTACTCAGCTAGCCAACTCGCTACCTACCTCAAAAGGCCTGAAGCAAATCACATGCTCGAACTGGATCGAGCGCTTCACTACCTCATCAGTACTCCGACGATCGGACTCACCTACCACAAAACTAGCACCGCAACACCTAAGCTAATCGGCTACGTCGACGCCGATCACGCTGGAGATTCAGACAACAGACGGTCTCGAACCGGCTACGTCTACAGACTCGAACCTATCGGGCCTATCTCTTGGCAGTCGAACAAGCAAGAGCTAATTGCTCTCTCGTCAGCAGAAGCAGAACATATCGCACTCTGCTCAGCAACCAAGGAAGGGCCATATCTTCGCGAACTACTGGAGGAAGCAAAATTGGCCTAGTTACCCAATTTCTCTCTCTTCTGCGACAACCAATCGGCCATTCGCATAGCGAACAAAAACGGGTTCGCGAATCGAACGAAGCACATCGCCCTTCGGTACTTCTTCGTGAAAGACGAGATCGAAAAGGGAAGACTCGAACTATCCTACCGTCCCACATCCGAGATGGCAGCCGACTACTTGACCAAGAAACTCGGAAAAACAGAAGTTCGAGTACTGCATGCTGCTGACTGGACAAGGACACGTCACCAGCAACGATCCTCCAGAAGCGAAGGGGAGTGTTGGAAACAAGTGATTTATAGCGCTTCTGTCGTATCGAAGCTTCGACACGAAACGGAACTGACTACAGCGAAGAAGCACCCGAGTCAACCGTCGGAGGTTGCGCGAAGGTCAAAGGTCTCCAACCTTTGCCCTGACGAAACGTACAGTGCGACAGCAAGGACACATAACTGACTCGTTACAGAGCAGTTACCCGAGTCGGCACTGTATCGAACCGCAACAGCAAAAACATTTAAGATAGAACTTTCCATATTCCTTTGTAATCATATAAAAGCCTTGTACTTCTCTGCTATTATCAACTTATCTTGTTCTCACAAACTAGCACAAGGTGGTTCACGACAACTCTTCATTAAACGCTTCCGCTATTACAACTCTACGTCAACACCCGATCTAAGTCCTGAAAAAGGTTCTAAGGGCTTTTCTCAGCCCAACAGAGTGAAGGTCAAAGGTCAGCGACCTTTGACTCGCCGAAAAGCAGCGCGACAGCAAGGACACATAACTGACTCACTATTGAGCAGTTACCCGAGTCGTCGCTGTATCGAACCGCAACAGCAGTTACAAATAGTGAAACCTTTCATATTCCTTTGTAATCATATAAATCTTTGTATGCCTTTGCTATTATCAACTTATCTTGTTCTCACATACAGTGCAAGGTGGTTCAATCAGTTTACTATTACGCTTCTGCTAATACATAACTACTCTGAGAGTTAAGTCTTGAAAACGATCCTAAGGGCTTTTCTCAGCCCAACATTCCACTCCTCTCTGTTCTCCCTTCCAAAAGGCACCTGACGAGGCACCTGACGGGGTACCTGACGAGGCACCTGACGAGGCACCTGACGAGGCACTTGATGAGGCACCTGACGAGGGAACCTGCTCAGGCCCTGGACAAGGCAGTCGCCTCTACTCGGGCTCCTTGTGGTTCTGTGGCTCCACCACGAGGGTGTGGCGGTCGCTGTGGAAGTGGAAGGGCGCCTCAAAGGCAAAAGCAGTGAGGTCGTGCACCTGCCACTCGTGCTCGTGCACCCCCCACAGCGGATCCATGCCCACCCCCACCTTCACACTCCGCCGCCGCACCAGCGCCAGCACCGTCGCACTGAAGGCTCGGATGGAGGCTCGGGACGCGGCCGGGGAGGTGGGAGAGGATTGGGTGGGGGAGCTGGGGGAGGGTTGGAGAGTTGGGGATGTGGTGGGGGAGCGGTGGGAGGAGGGTGATGGGGAGGATAGGCTGGGAGGGTTGAACTCGATGCTGCTGGTTACCACGTACTGTGTTCATGGCGGTGTTATAGCGTAGTGGGGGTGGGGACGAGGGAGGGAGGACGAGACAGAAACAGACAAGGATAAAATGAGGTGAGGGGAGAGAGTCAAGGGGATAAAGAGAGGGAAAATAAAATTGGAGCGCAGCAGCACATTAGCATGCACAAGGAGCAGTCATGTGCTCGCAGAAGCAAAAGACCAGCCGACACGGCAGGATTTGAAAAACAGATGCAGTGACGTGCAGTGCAGTGCGGTGCGGTCCAGTGTGGTGCGGTGCAGTATCACTGACAACAAGGGAGAAGTCGTGTTTGAAGGGCCACTTGAGCGCCCACACGGTGCCTGGCTGGGGATACACCGCATACACACTCCTGCCCGGGCCCCCTGCCACCCTGCGCACCCTCCACACCCTGATGGGGGTGATGGGGGTGATGGGGGTGATGGGGGTGATGGGGATGATGGGGGTGATGGGGGTGATGGGGGTGATGTGGGTGATGGGGGTTATGGGGGTGATGGGGGTGATGGGGATGACTGTTTGTGATGATCGTGGTGGCACACACAAGCACAGCAGAATGCTGGCAGCGCAGAGATTCGCAGTGACATCAGTAACCGTCTCAAGAGATTCGCAGTGACATCAATAACCGTCTCAAGAGATTCGCAGTGACATCAATAACCGTCTCAAGAGATTCGCAGTGACATCAATAACCGTCTCAAGAGATTCGCAGTGACATCAATAACCGTCTCAAGAGATTCGCAGTGACATCAATAACCGTCTCAAGAGATTCGCAGTGACATCAATAACCGTCTCAAGAGATTCGCAGTGACATCAATAACCGTCTCAAGAGATTCGCAGTGACATCAATAACCGTCTCAAGAGATTCGCAGTGACATCAATAACCGTCTCAAGAGATTCGCAGTGACATCAATAACCGTCTCAAGAGATTCGCAGTGACATCAATAACCGTCTCAAGAGATTCGCAGTGACATCAATAACCGTCTCAAGAGATTCGCAGTGACATCAATAACCGTCTCAAGAGATTCGCAGTGACATCAATAACCGTCTCAAGAGATTCGCAGTGACATCAATAACCGTCTCAAGAGATTCGCAGTGACATCAATAACCGTCTCAAGAGATTCGCAGTGACATCAATAACCGTCTCAAGAGATTCGCAGTGACATCAATAACCGTCTCAAGAGATTCGCAGTGACATCAATAACCGTCTCAAGAGATTCGCAGTGACATCAGTAACCGTCTCAAGAGATTCGCAGTGACATCAGTAACCGTCTCAAGAGATTCGCAGTGACATCAATAACCGTCTCAAGAGATTCGCAGTGACATCAGTAACCGTCTCAAGAGATTCGCAGTGACATCAATAACCGTCTCAAGAGATTCGCAGTGACATCAATAACCGTCTCAAGAGATTCGCAGTGACATCAGTAACCGTCTCAAGAGATTCGCAGTGACATCAATAACCGTCTCAAGAGATTCGCAGTGACATCAATAACCGTCTCAAGAGATTTGCAGTGACATCAGTAACCGTCTCAAGAGATTCGCAGTGACATCAATAACCGTCTCAAGAGATTCGCAGTGACATCAATAACCGTCTCAAGAGATTCGCAGTGACATCAATAACCGTCTCAAGAGATTCGCAGTGACATCAATAACCGTCTCAAGAGATTCGCAGTGACATCAATAACCGTCTCAAGAGATTCGCAGTGACATCAATAACCGTCTCAAGAGATTCGCAGTGACATCAATAACCGTCTCAAGAGATTCGCAGTGACATCAATAACCGTCTCAAGAGATTCGCAGTGACATCAATAACCGTCTCAAGAGATTCGCAGTGACATCAATAACCGTCTCAAGAGATTCGCAGTGACATCAATAACCGTCTCAAGAGATTCGCAGTGACATCAATAACCGTCTCAAGAGATTCGCAGTGACATCAATAACCGTCTCAAGAGATTCGCAGTGACATCAATAACCGTCTCAAGAGATTCGCAGTGACATCAATAACCGTCTCAAGAGATTCGCAGTGACATCAATAACCGTCTCAAGAGATTCGCAGTGACATCAATAACCGTCTCAAGAGATTCGCAGTGACATCAATAACCGTCTCAAGAGATTCGCAGTGACATCAATAACCGTCTCAAGAGATTCGCAGTGACATCAATAACCGTCTCAAGAGATTCGCAGTGACATCAGTAACCGTCTCAAGAGATTCGCAGTGACATCAATAACCGTCTCAAGAGATTCGCAGTGACATCAATAACCGTCTCAAGAGATTCGCAGTGACATCAATAACCGTCTCAAGAGATTCGCAGTGACATCAATAACCGTCTCAAGAGATTCGCAGTGACATCAGTAACCGTCTCAAGAGATTCGCAGTGACATCAGTAACCGTCTCAAGAGATTCGCAGTGACATCAATAACCGTCTCAAGAGATTCGCAGTGACATCAGTAACCGTCTCAAGAGATTCGCAGTGACATCAATAACCGTCTCAAGAGATTCGCAGTGACATCAATAACCGTCTCAAGAGATTCGCAGTGACATCAGTAACCGTCTCAAGAGATTCGCAGTGACATCAATAACCGTCTCAAGAGATTCGCAGTGACATCAATAACCGTCTCAAGAGATTCGCAGTGACATCAGTAACCGTCTCAAGAGATTCGCAGTGACATCAATAACCGTCTCAAGAGATTCGCAGTGACATCAATAACCGTCTCAAGAGATTCGCAGTGACATCAATAACCGTCTCAAGAGATTCGCAGTGACATCAATAACCGTCTCAAGAGATTCCCAGTGACATCAATAACCGTCTCAAGAGATTCGCAGTGACATCAATAACCGTCTCAAGAGATTCGCAGTGACATCAATAACCGTCTCAAGAGATTCGCAGTGACATCAATAACCGTCTCAAGAGATTCGCAGTGACATCAATAACCGTCTCAAGAGATTCGCAGTGACATCAATAACCGTCTCAAGAGATTCGCAGTGACATCAATAACCGTCTCAAGAGATTCGCAGTGACATCAATAACCGTCTCAAGAGATTCGCAGTGACATCAATAACCGTCTCAAGAGATTCGCAGTGACATCAATAACCATCTCAAGAGATTCGCAGTGACATCAATAACCGTCTCAAGAGATTCGCAGTGACATCAATAACCGTCTCAAGAGATTCGCAGTGACATCAATAACCGTCTCAAGAGATTCGCAGTGACATCAATAACCGTCTCAAGAGATTCGCAGTGACATCAATAACCGTCTCAAGAGATTCGCAGTGACATCAATAACCGTCTCAAGAGATTCGCAGTGACATCAATAACCGTCTCAAGAGATTCGCAGTGACATCAATAACCGTCTCAAGAGATTCGCAGTGACATCAGTAACCGTCTCAAGAGATTCGCAGTGACATCAGTAACCGTCTCAAGAGATTCGCAGTGACATCAATAACCGTCTCAAGAGATTCGCAGTGACATCAATAACCGTCTCAAGAGATTCGCAGTGACATCAGTAACCGTCTCAAGAGATTCGCAGTGACATCAGTAACCGTCTCAAGAGATTCGCAGTGACATCAATAACCGTCTCAAGAGATTCGCAGTGACATCAATAACCGTCTCAAGAGATTCGCAGTGACATCAATAACCGTCTCAAGAGATTCGCAGTGACATCAATAACCGTCTCAAGAGATTCGCAGTGACATCAGTAACCGTCTCAAGAGATTCGCAGTGACATCAATAACCGTCTCAAGAGATTCGCAGTGACATCAATAACCGTCTCAAGAGATTCGCAGTGACATCAATAACCGTCTCAAGAGATTCGCAGTGACATCAATAACCGTCTCAAGAGATTCGCAGTGACATCAATAACCGTCTCAAGAGATTCGCAGTGACATCAATAACCGTCTCAAGAGATTCGCAGTGACATCAATAACCGTCTCAAGAGATTCGCAGTGACATCAATAACCGTCTCAAGAGATTCGCAGTGACATCAATAACCGTCTCAAGAGATTCGCAGTGACATCAATAACCGTCTCAAGAGATTCGCAGTGACATCAATAACCGTCTCAAGAGATTCGCAGTGACATCAATAACCGTCTCAAGAGATTCGCAGTGACATCAATAACCGTCTCAAGAGATTCGCAGTGACATCAATAACCGTCTCAAGAGATTCGCAGTGACATCACTAACCGTCTCAAGAGATTCGCAGTGACATCAGTAACCGTCTCAAGAGATTCGCAGTGACATCAATAACCGTCTCAAGAGATTCGCAGTGACATCAATAACCGTCTCAAGAGATTCGCAGTGACATCACTAACCGTCTCAAGAGATTCGCAGTGACATCAATAACCATCTCAAGAGATTCGCAGTGACATCAATAACCGTCTCAAGAGATTCGCAGTGACATCAATAACCGTCTCAAGAGATTCGCAGTGACATCAATAAACGTCTCAAGAGATTCGCAGTGACATCAATAACCGTCTCAAGAGATTCGCAATGACATCAATAACCGTCTCAAGAGATTCGCAGTGACATCAATAACCGTCTCAAGAGATTCGCAGTGACATCAATAACCGTCTCAAGAGATTCGCAGTGACATCAATAACCGTCTCAAGAGATTCGCAGTGACATCAATAACCGTCTCAAGAGATTCGCAGTGACATCAATAACCGTCTCAAGAGATTCGCAGTGACATCAATAACCGTCTCAAGAGATTCGCAGTGACATCAGTAACCGTCTCAAGAGATTCGCAGTGACATCAATAACCGTCTCAAGAGATTCGCAGTGACATCAATAACCGTCTCAAGAGATTCGCAGTGACATCAATAACCGTCTCAAGAGATTCGCAGTGACATCAATAACCGTCTCAAGAGATTCGCAGTGACATCAATAACCGTCTCAAGAGATTCGCAGTGACATCAGTAACCGTCTCAAGAGATTTGCAGTGACATCAATAACCGTCTCAAGAGATTCGCAGTGACATCAATAACCGTCTCAAGAGATTCGCAGTGACATCAATAACCGTCTCAAGAGATTCGCAGTGACATCAATAACCGTCTCAAGAGATTCGCAGTGACATCAATAACCGTCTCAAGAGATTCGCAGTGACATCAATAACCGTCTCAAGAGATTCGCAGTGACATCAATAACCGTCTCAAGAGATTCGCAGTGACATCAATAACCATCTCAAGAGATTCGCAGTGACATCAATAACCGTCTCAAGAGATTCGCAGTGACATCAATAACCGTCTCAAGAGATTCGCAGTGACATCAGTAACCGTCTCAAGAGATTCGCAGTGACATCAGTAACCGTCTCAAGAGATTCGCAGTGACATCAATAACCGTCTCAAGAGATTCGCAGTGACATCAATAACCGTCTCAAGAGATTCGCAGTGACATCAATAACCGTCTCAAGAGATTCGCAGTGACATCAATAACCGTCTCAAGAGATTCGCAGTGACATCAATAACCGTCTCAAGAGATTCGCAGTGACATCAATAACCGTCTCAAGAGATTCGCAGTGACATCAATAACCGTCTCAAGAGATTCGCAGTGACATCAATAACCGTCTCAAGAGATTCGCAGTGACATCAATAACC